GAACTGCTGTACACTGTACATATCAAGAAACAAGCAATGCATCTGTGGATGTATATAATTCACACATCCCTCTACCTAACTACCTGCCTGCCTGCCTACCTACCTACGTCTGTCTATATGCACCTTTTACTCGCATGTAGCTGTATGTAGAAGTATGTGCATGCATGCATACGTTACATACATTCATACATACATACATACATACATGCATACATACATGCATACATACAAGAATACATACACACATATCATGCCATGCAGCTATATATATATATATATATACGTGTGTGTGTACATACATGCAAATACAACTTACTATAACTATAGATATGGATTTAAATATATCTAAATCTAAATATAAATATAAATATACTTATACATATACATATACATATGCATATACACATACATATACATATACATATATGTATGTATGTACGCATGTATGTATGTATGTATCTGTGCGTACACATACATCTCCCGCTCTCTCTCTCTCTCTCTCTCGCTCTCTGTATCTGCACATGAATATGTTCATTCAAGGGAGCCAGTGAGCCCAGGCAGCGGCAAATACTACTTCGAAGTGGAGCTGACACTTTGTCTGAAATAGAGGGTTTAGGGTTTGTAGGGTTTAGAGGGCTTATAGGGTTTAGAGGGTTTATAGGGTTTATAGGGTTTAAAGGGTTTATAGGGTTTATAGGGTTTATAGGGTTTGTAGGGTTTACAGAGTTTGTAGGGCTTGTAGGGTTTTTAGGGTTTATAGGGTTTATGGGGTTTATAGGGTTTATAGGGTTTACAGGGTTTATAGGGTTTGTAGGGTTTATAGGGTTTAAAGGGTTTACAGGGTTTAGGGTTTAGGGTGGCTTCTGACTCTCAACCTTAAAACCCTAGGCCTAGCAATTTGGGATGTAGGTTCTATTTCGGCTGTTCGGGTTGGGGGTGTCTAGGCCTAGGCCTGCGAGAATTGCGGAGGTTACCTTGCTGGAGCCTCTTAAAGGGCCACTTAGGATTTATCTTTGTCATAGTGGGGCAACAGTGTAGTACTTAAACTCAATAAGGACAAGACATTTAAGTTTGTAATACTATCCCAACCATGAACTAGTTATGGTACCTAATGCCCCAACTCCCTGCTAGCAACTGGTAAGTCACAGAGTTGCAGTGCCGACCTCTATCGGGCTTGGAACGGGGACGAGAATCACACATCCCCCTGACTAACCATCTCAGGGACTCATGACCCTTTCAGGGATATTCTAGAGCTAATTCCTGAATTCCCTACTAAGAGCCCGCAAGATTAGGAAACGCACCCGGTTGAACTCCAAACTCCAACCCTGGACTTTCTGGATATTCCAGTCGGAATGCAGGAGAAGTATTCGGAACAGGCCTTGAGCTGTACATAGGGTTTATGTCGCTTAGGGTTTCTGAACTGAAGGGTTTACTTGAACCTCCTAGACTGTTTCTTGCTGGCAAGGTATTGCGGCTGCTCATCTCCGCAAGTGGGGGTGCTGAGCTACTTGGCACTGACACCCTACGCCTTATACAATTGAAGCTTTCGCGAAGGGGCATACCTTGTTCTGAAGGGGCCCGGGCTCAAATCGGGGTTTCGGAGTCTGGTGTTGAATGGGTTTGTGATGGGTTTGGTTGGGCTTGCCCTTGTTTTGAAGGACCCCGGCTTCAATCCGGGTTTGGGAATTGGTTGGACGAGACCGTTGGAAGAAGCCCCCTTCAAAACAAGGTCCAGCCCAACCCAACCCATCCTGGAAGCCGCCTTCCAGTGCAGAGAGAGCGAGAGAGGGACGGAGAGAGAGAGAGAGAGAGATAGACAGAGAGACAGACAGACGGACAGACAGACAGACAGATACCCAATGTTATGCCCAATGTCTATACGGAAGGTACATGTTCCTTTGTGCTATGGTTGTTCTAGCCCATGCTCTGAACCAAAGCGAGGCTCTCAGTTCATCCCGGCCCCGCGCAACAGCAGCTTCCTCGGTGGAGTAGGCCAGGGGAGTCGTTGTGAGAGGGTTTAGGGTTTAGAGTTTAGGGTAAGGGTAATATCTTCAGTGTCTATTCCTCCCTGAAGGCCCCATAACTGAAAGGCCCTGCAAAGACGGGAAACCCCGTCTGAACCCTAACGCGCAGAGCCCGAAAGAAAGGTCTTCGGAACCATGAGCCCTGCAACCCTGAAACCTACATCTTGGGTTTAGGGTTTAGGGTTTAGGGCTTAGGGTTTAGGGTTTGGGGTTTACGCCCCTGAACCCAAAACCCCAAACCCCAAATCGCGCTTCCGCAGGAGACGACGAGCATGGATTCGCGGCGGACGGTCAGCATGCTATTCTGTGGCATGACGGCGCGGGCCTGAGGTCCGGGCACTCATCCCTCAATCTGGGAATCTGGGGAGTTTACGGACATACGGGACCCTAAACCCTAAACCCTAATTTTGACGAAGGTTACTTGGTTTGGGCCTGGGCGGGACTACCAAGCCGCAACTGCCCTAACCCTAAACCCTAAACCCTAAACCCTCAACAGCACAGGATCCCAGAGTAGGATCCCATTCGAGGAAAGCGGCTTCCGTTCGAAGACCTGTGGCCCTCATCGGACCAAGCTCTCTCAGAGGACCCGGGTGTTGGGGTTCTAGGGTTTAGGGTTGAGGGTTGAGGGTTTAGGGTTACTCTGCACCTTAAGCCCTAAATCCGGGCCATGGTTGTTTAGAGTGTTGGCAGCGGCTTAGAGGCTGCTCGAGTGTATTGGCGGTTGTGGGCTTGAAGGTTTAGGGGCGTAGAGCTTGCAGGACTTAAGGTGCTTTAGGGGCATACAACCGTTTTGGGAATATAGGGTGACCCAAATTGAGGGTTCCTGGATACGAAAGGTTGTGCATGGGTATATACTAGTTCGGGGTATATTGGGGGTGCCCCTGGTTTGGGACATGCCCATATTTTGAGCGCGGCTCCATTACGTTGAGGTAACTTCGCTGAAGAACCGAGATTTGGTCACGGCTACCCCGTTGTGATCTCGAATAATTCTGTCGCTCTTAGCGTGGAGGAGCTGACTGTTCGCACTGTTGGCAGAAGCTTTCAAGGTCCTACGTGCAGAAAAGCGAGACTCGAAAGCGTTTGAGCAGAGGAATCAAAAACACCCTGAACCCTAAGCCCTAAACCGTAAGCCGTAAACCCTAAACCCTAAACATTGGAAACTTGTGGTGACCATCTAAGAGTCACAAGAAAGTTCCGAGCGTTGAACACTAAGTTGTTCATGAGCCATTCAGGGTTTGCAGTTTAGGGTTTAGGGTTTAGGGTTTAGGGTTTAGGGTTTAGGGAGGATTGGTGATTTCCCGGGAAAAAAGGAGACCGTTCTAGAGTCTTCCATTTTGGTTTTTGCATCGCAGGTTCCGTCTCTACCGCTTAACCCTTAACCCTAAACCCTAAACCGCTCAAGCCTGTTTTGCGGAGTACTGCCAGCTCACATGTAAGGCACGGGCCTTTCATCAAGGTTCCGGGACTGAATTTAGACCTGTGTTTAGGCCGGCCTTTGGCAGCTCCTGTTTTTTCATAAGGGACCGTTAGGGGTTTAGGGTTTAGTGTTTAGGGTTTAGGGTTTAGTGTTTAGGGTTTAGTGTTTAGGGTTCCGGGCAAGAACACGCACACTCGATCTCCAACGTTTGCACAGCTACAGCGCTTGAAGGTTTCCCCGGGGAAGTCAACCCCCAAAGGGCTGTGGGCACCAAGTTTGGGGTTTGGGGGAAGGGGGTATGGGTTTAGGGTTTAGGGTTTAGGGTTTAGGGTTTAGGGTTTAGGGTTTTGGGTTCAGGGTTCAGGGTTTAGGGTTCAGGGTTCAGGGTTTAGGGTTTAGGCTTCATTGGGCTGAGGGCTGTTCCAGGACGTGGTGGTGGGAGTGGCCGTCGATCTCGACAAGCGCCACATCTACTTCTCCACTAATGGCACCTCGCAGCACACAAGGACCCTCACCCCAAAAGCCCTAAAACCCTCAACCTCCCACCTGCCTGACAAACAGCAGTCGCGCTCGGCCCTGGTGGAACCTCAAAAACTTCGGCTCACAAGCCACAGCCCCGAAAAGTCCTTGAAGCCTTGAACCTTCTGAAGCACTTTACTTAGTCCGGAATTGAGCGGGTCGGTTCCCTTCCTTGGTGGCCTCGTGGTACCCTTTCCCCTTATTTTTCGGTTCAAGGTTCCCTTGTAATGGAACCAACCCCCCAAAAGGGTGCCCTTATTGTAATAGGGTTGTTGGGCTACCAAGCTTCTTTCCCCTACTTAGAGGTTCACGGGTAGTTCTAAGTGGGTCTATACGTAGGGTAACTATAGTTATAAGTGGTTCTGACCTTTATCTAGGGCACTTAGAACCCTACTTCTAACTATCCGTGAACAACCAAGTATGAAGCCCTTTTTCCCTAAACCCTAAACGCTAAACCCTAAACCCTAAACCCTATTTTGCACTGGGATCTACTGGGTATGGGGCTCTCCTGGGTTGCGGTCGGTCGAGGACAGAAGTTGCGCTGACACATCCGAACCTTCTAAGCCCCAAGCTGCCAAAAGTCCTCAATCCAACAACTTACCGAAACGCTAGGTTTAGGGTTTAATTAGGGTTTAGGGTGTAGGGTTTAGGGTTTAGGGTTCAGGGTTTAGGGTTCAGGGTTCAGGGTTTAGGGTTTAGGGTTTAGGGTTTAGCGGACTTGGGGCCTGACTGAAACCTTACAAATGAACCCGAAACCCCTAGAACCCGCGAGCCTCGGCAGATGAAGAAGCAAGCTGAGCACCTTCAACAACGTGAACGCGCAGACCAAGCAAAGCAAGCAAGGCAAAGCAAGCAAGGCCCTCAAACCCTCAAACCCTAAACCCTAAACCCTAAGAAGCAAGGCAAGCAAGGCAAACCTCATAGCCACGCAACCAAACCCACAAAGAAACAAATAAACAACACACAAAACAAAGCACAGCACTCATGGGCACAAACAGACAGGGAGGACGCCCCAGTCCCACTTGGAGGTTCCTGGGTACTTATAAGCAGGGTTAGAAGTGCCCTAAGTAAGGTTATACGTAGAGTTACCCTACTTATGACCCTTCTTATCTACCCCTGAAGCTTCAAGTAGCCCTAAACCCTAAACCCTAAACCCTAAACCCTGAACCCTAAACCCTAAACCCTAAACCCTAATCCAAGCACCCAAGGCAAGTGGCCCGATGCACCCTCCTTCGCCGAGGAAACTCGGTCCCAGGATGTTCCGGTGATTTTAGGGTTTGGGTTTGGGGTTCAGGGTTTAGGGTTTAGGGTTTAGGGTTTAGGGCTTAGGGTTTAGGGTTTAGGGTTTAGGGTTTAGGGTTTAGGGTTTAGGCCCAAGACCCCCAATTCGAATGCATTTTGGGGATTAGGGTGATTCGTGACGATTTGTGCCTTTAGAGGCAATCTCCCTCGATTGCAGGCCTCTTTCTCTGTGGTTGTCAGCATTCTCTCTGCGGTCATCGCTCGTCATTGAACAGTTTCACGTGCTCCCGCACACCGCGTGTAAAGCAACGAGCTACATGATGACGACGATGGCGATGGCTGGATGGTGGTGGGCCGAGGTGCAGCTGGTATCGTTCGTTCTGAGAGCACCATTCCCCTTATCTGTTGGAATGTCCTCTCCTTCAAAAAGCTTTTGCTGAGCCTAAACCACTGTAGACAGCAGACCCTACGCAGCCCCTAAGCCCTGAACCCCTCACCTTGACCTCATGTTGGCCTGAGCCCCTCAGTCTTTCCTCCATTCGGGGAAGAGTCGGCCTGCCCTTTGTTTCTTTTTCTGCTTTGTTTTGCTTTTGTTCGTTGTTTGTTTTCCATTCCGGGGGGGCTGGGGGGCTTCAGGATATAGGGTTTATAGGCTCAGGGGTTAAGAGTTACTCAAGCTCAGACGGTTTGTAGGCTGCTTGAGGGTCTCAGGTTTGCTTCGTAAGTTCCTGCCAGATTCTGGGGTCATGGTGAAACCTTAGAAAGTAAGAACACTGCCAAGCGCACAGGGAGTCACAAGTTCACAAGTTGGGTTGAAAGACGTTACATGCGGCATCGGCGTGCAGACTCCAATCTGTCTAAGAAGCTCCGCTGCCCTTGCAGAAACTAGGCTGTGTACACACATGCCCCTTGCTGTTATGTGCGATTCAGCCAGCACATGTCTTCAGGATACCCTGTGTCTCGTCGTGCTCATGAAAGCAAAAATTGCTCGAACAACTTGCTGCGCCTGCCAGAGCAGGTGATGAAAAGGAGGCCTAAAGCGTGGACCCCTCACACGCCTTCGGGGCGTGACACTAAACCCTGGACCCCAAAGACTCACGCTGATACCAGCGTTTCGCAGCTCTAGAACAGCACTTCTTCCGCTTTTGTCAAGGACGTGTCGCCAGGATAGTTGTTTCTATTTTAGGGTTCGGGGTTTAGGGTTTAGGGTCTAGGGTTTCGGGTTTGGGATTTAGGGTTTTTTTTTTCAGAAAGCTGCTAGGGCTTAGCACGATTCCAAAGACTTGTACATTAGAGGGTCGGGTCGTACTTCAGGAGGCTAGGACCCGTGGATTACGCAGATTGGTACATAAACTTTACCTGAGCATCCTGGCAGGTTCCGTGTGTTGTCGAGAAGGAAGGCTTTCAACCCTGAGCCGGCTTCCCCCAAGCTCCCAAAGATCCTTGCTGACGACCCCGAAAGACAGGAGTACGATCCTGGTTCCCAGGAGCCCAGAAACCTAAAAGTCTGGGCCTGAAATGGGGGTTCAGGGCGTAGGTCTTCCCTCCCTAAACCCTAATCCCTCACCCTAAACCCTAAACCCTAAACCCTAAAGTTGAGTAAAGATCAACCCCAGGACAAGGTTCGCAAGAACCTCAAGCTCTACCCCGCCATGTCCATCAAGGGTCGTGCGGCCTTCAACTTCGGCCCAGGTTGGGGAAGTGGGGTATTGGGGTTTAGGGTTTAGGGTTTAGGGTTTCGGGTTTTGGGTTTTGGGTTCAGGGTTTAGGGTCTACAAAAGGTTGCTTTCAGTTGGAAGCCGCGGCGGTGCCAACATCTCTCGCTTCTCACGCACTTGCTGCACAAGACTCATGTTGCCTAACCCGTTGAAACCCTTTAAGCCCTTGAGCCCCTATCCCTGAAAAGCCCCAGGCCATCTATCTTTTTTTTGGTTCATTTTTTTGGCCCACACCAAGCCCCTACCTCATTTCCTAAACCCAAGCTTCCCGTACCTTAAATCACTCCCTTAAGCAAGACGTGCACAGTCCTAACTCTTTAAAAGAATGCAGCGCCCTAACTGGCCTGCTGCTTTACTTCGGGTTCCTACAAGGAAGGCCTCACACACTAGCCTGAACGAAACCTTCACAAACGTCCTTTTTCTATTGTCTAAGCACAACGCACCCAATGCAGGCTTCAAGCATGAGCCTCCGAAAGTCGCGAGCTTCGGGCGCTGGCCGCAGGCCTGCACGCTTGACACGTCTCTCATCTTGTGTTGTTTTGCTGTCCCTAAACCCTAAACCCTAAACCCTAAACCCTAAACCTTAAACCCTAAACCCTAAACCCTAAAGTTAGGGACAAGGCCTAGTAGCCCATCCTGGTACGTCTCAGATCTGTTGCTGCAGTTTCCCGTGCCCCCCGGGCCTGGGAGTCTTGGCGTCCCGAAGCCTTAACCTAGGTAGGCCCTTAGGATATTTGTTACTTTCCTTTGTTGGGTTTACGAGGATCATATTTAGGAATATTTTTTCAGAGGCTTTTATAAGGGCCATCCTAGTAACCAACTAACCCGACCTAGACCCAATTGTGGCACTTCTTTAGGGTCCTCACTTTCTGGCTCCTACAACTGAGCCAGAAAACTTGGCACCCCTAAACCCTAAACCCTAAACCCTAAACCCTAAATATAAGTGGACTTGGCGGGTCAAGATCAGCCGCCGACCCTGGTGCCAAAGTTTAGAAAGCTCAACGCAAGTGATGTCAAGCACTTTAGGGTTTAGGGTTTAGGGTTCAGGGCTTAGGGTTTAGGGTACAGCCAGAATGCCGAACAGCGCCCGCCCACCTTAACTTGAAGTATGGCAGAATGTATACGGGTAGTTGGATCACGGGTCCTAGATGGCCGCGAGGTTTTCGGCATTTTCGGCAATCTATGGCTTGTTTCCGGCTTTGGGGGGGAGGGGGGGGAAGGGGGATAAGAACGTCATTCATATTGCTTCCATGCACAAAACTCGGATATTTGCTGCGTTTTCGCCTCTTTGTACAACACACTGCGCAAGGATGTGGAACAAGACACGTTGTCACAAGCGTCCATGCCAATTTCGACGATGCCCAAAACACTGGTATTTACCGCGATCTTGCCTCGTTGTACGACATACCGCGCAACAATGCGGAGCAGGACACGTTGTCACAAGCGTCCATGCCAATTGCGACGATGCCCAAAACACTGGTATTTTCCACGTTTTCGCCTCGTTGTACAACATACTGCGCAAGGGATGCGGAAGAAGAAGAGCTGTCACAAGCGTCCATGCCTTTGGCTGAGGTACGATCTCATTTAACACCAAAGCCCCCAAATCAGGAAACGTCGAAGTAGTTTTTTTACTGTTTTCTTGGCCTCCTGTTTTAGGAATCCTCCAGAAACCCAGGTAAAACGTACGTTTTCGCACACTCGCACACCCAAACACCACGGCAATCTAGGACCCGTGATCCGGGCAGTTGGGTTATGGGCAGTAGATTGCCGCGGGGTGTTCGGTGTTTTCTGCACTTTCCCTGCGGTTCGGTTGGCGGGGGGGGGGGTAAGAACGTCATTCATATTGCGCCCATGCCCAAAACACTGGTATTTCCAGCGTGCAACATACTGCACAAGGCCATGCCCGAAACACGGCTTGGAGGTTAATGGCTAGTTATCTTAGAAGTTGGGTTATAAGTAGCGTAACTCTACTTAAAACCTTACTCAGGGTCCTTAGGCTACAAAAAATCCAAGTGGTGCTTACAGCGCTTTTGTGTCTCTAGGAGCTGTGGACTTGACCCTTAAGGGCTTAGACTCCGGGTTTACACACTCATCCCACTAAGAACAACGCACAGACAGTAGAACATGTGGTCCGGGTAGTGCTCGAAATTAGGGTCCCTTGTGGAGTCCTTCTGATAAAGTGCCGTACTAAGATAGGGACCCAAATCGGGAGCCTAATTTCGAGAACTGCCCATATAGTGTGAGTGTAAATGTCGTGTATATATATATATATACATGCATATATATATATATATACATACATACATACATATATCTATTTTTATATATGTGTGTCTATATATATATATATAGACACCTATATGTATATACCGTGGAGATAGTGAACAAATTGCTGAATTGCGATGGCGGGGTGGGCCGGGTTTCGGTGTCAGAGGGGAGGGGAATGTCTCGCAAATCCCCGAAATCCCTCCCCGCTTAGCTACAGTACCCTGAACCTTTGTACAATGAAACCACACCCTAAGTTGGAGAATCTTCCACACCGACAGTTTCCGGTAAGGACCAAGCCTCCCAAACCCTCGATTTGGAAACCTTCAAGCTCCTACATCCTTCGCAAGCCTCCTCTGCATCTCCATCTCCTAACCCTGTAAACTCTGCAAACCCTAAAACCCTTGAGAACCCTAACCCTAAACCCTAAACCCTAAACCCTAAACCCTAAACCCTAAACCCTAAACCCTAAACCCTAAACCCTAAACCCTAAACCCTAAACCCTAAACCCTAAACCCTAAACCCTAGACCCTAAACCCTAAACCCTAAACCCCAATCCCTAGACCCCAAAGCCCCTTTAGACTCGAAACCCTTCAATGCCGCTCCGAGCTGAGCTGAGCTCCAGGCCGGGGAAGAGCTACTGCGAGCGCCTTGGGATGCAGCTTCTTAGGCATGTGGCGTCTTAGATTGTTTGTGTTTAGGGTTTCGGGTTTCGGGTTTTGGGTTTCGGGTTGAGGGTTGAGGGTTTAGGGTTTGAGTTTGCTAAATGTTTTTGGGGTTTAAGGTTGCACGTACTCAGGCTTGGGGGTTTATGCGGTTGTTCAAGGTGGTAAGGGTTGCGGCTTTGGGTGCTTGGGGCGTGGCACGTCGGGTTTTAAGGCCCACGGGCTGCAGGGTTCTGGGCTCTTGGTCCCGCGCTGTCGGGTTGCCGATGTTTCAGATGGCCGGCGAAGCTCACGTTCCGAAATCTTGAGCCCATCCTCTCCACCCCCTCCCCCTCTCCCCGAAAGCCCTACATCCTTGGCCCAAAAGCTCTCAAACCTTAACGAGACCCCTGAAGCACCCTAAACTAAACCCTAAACCCTAAACCCTAAACCCCCTCGAGGCTACGAGGCCCCTATTGTGAACTACACATGGAGCATCATGTTTGTTCTCTTGGGCATGGGGGGCTTGGTTATGGCTTGGTAGTGGAGTATAGGCCCCACACCCCCGGACACACCCTGGGCCCAATAATCCCTGAATGAAGTGCGCAAGAACATGGTCGTCTGTGATGGTAGCAGTCAGGGCTTCAGGGTTCTATCTCTAGGAATCGAAACTTTCAGGTAGATGAAGCTTAGCTTAAGGCAAGTATGCACCCTATAAATTATACCCCAGGTTCAAGGTTTCCTGTAGGGATTCGGGTGAAATACAGGGGTCGGAATTTTCACTAACAGCATTCCCTTATGGCCCCTTACTATAAGAACCCCCAAAACCACATTCTAATTATTAAGGCCCCTATTTTGGGGTCCAAAACTGGCTGGTTCTTAGTAGGGAATGAGGAAATGAGGTCCCCTGCATACTGCATAGTCCTTTAAAGGGTACATATAGGGTCCTCATTCCCTCCTTTCCCTACTAAGAACCAGGGGGTAACAAGGGACTAGGGACTCATGTTTAGGGGCACACCTTGTACACCCCCCATGCCTCCAGGTGGACTGCCCGATCCTTGGGAACTCCAGCAGCCGCTTGGCTTGTTCTGCGGCCGCTGGACTGTTTCATATTGGGGTCGGAGTACTTGTAGGATTCCCTTATGGTCCCTATAGAAATATTCTATCATTACCCCCCCCCCCCCCCCCCCTCCCCAAGCCCTGTTCGAGCTATTAGGCCCCTACATGACACCGAATCCTAGTCGACGGTTGCTCTCTCAAAATATGGGAGGGTTTAGAAAACAAGGGACCCTACTAGAGTCCCCAACATACCCCAATTTCGTAAGCCCCTCATGTTTGTTTGTTCCATGAGGTCCTCTTTTGAAACCCTAAAGCCCAAACCCTAAACCCTAAACACTAAACCTCCCAACGCACGTCTGCACCATGTGGCATGCTTTTAGGCTTGGAGGGACGGGTTTAGATCCTCTCCGCCTTGCTGTGCTTGCTGGCGGCAGGATGTTCTTCGTTAGCCCTGAACCTCAAAAACCCTAAACCCTAAACCCTAAACCCTAAACCCTAAACCCTAAACCGTGCTCCTGCCAACTGAGAACTCCGCATTTACAAGGAGATCCAGATTCATGGCGAGGCACTTCAGCAGGGTTCCCCAAACTACTCTAGGGTCATAGGGTTTAGGGTTCAGGGTTTAGGGTCATAGGGTTTAGGGTTTAGGGTTTAGGGTTTAGGGTTTAGGGTTTAGGGTTTAGGGTTTAGGGTTTAGGGTTTAGGGTTTAGGGGTCGGAATAATTCTTCATAATCCTATTCCTTTTAAGGTCCCCTAGTAAATATACCATAATAACTCCCCCAAAAAGCTATTCTAATTATTGGGGCCCCTATATTAGATAGCCAAGAGGCCTACGATTTGTTGGGAGGTTTTGTGGTTGAGGGCATGATGCTTTGGTTTAGGGTTTAGGGTTTAGGGTTTAGGGTTTAGGGTTTAGGGGTTTAGGGTTTAGGGTTTAGGGTTTTAGGGTTTTAGGGTTTTAGGGTTTAGGGTGTAGGGTTTAGGGTTTAGGGTTTTAGGGTATTAGGGTTTAGGGTTTAGGGTTTAGGGTTTAGGGTTTAGAACATGGTTGGTAGCGTAGGAGAGGGCGTCCCCTGTCCCCTGCGCCATCCGGTGCCAGCCAGAGCAAGACAGATGCTTAGGCTGAAGCCTCTACACCCTAAAACCTAAACCCTAAACCCTAAACGAATCTCGAGATCCCTTCTTACCCAAAGCCTGCTAGGACTCCCCGGGCTCTGCGCAACACCATGTGGGTTCGCATCTGAGGTTTAGGGTTCAGGGTCTGTGTGAGTCTGTGTCTGTGTCTGTGTCTGTGTCTGTGCCTGTGTCTGTGTCTGTGTCTGTGTGTGCACGCGCGCTGAGCGTGGGGGTTTGCAGTTCGCGTGTTTATAGTTTCTGGGTCTGTAAGGGCCTGCTCCACGAAACCAGAAGCAGTAAACCTCTCAAACCCTACACTCCTAAAGCCACTACAGTACTGCCAAGTCCTACACCTTAAACGCTCAACCCCCTAAACCCTAAACTCTAAACCCTAAACAACCCTAAACCCGAGACCCTAAACCCTAAACCCTAAGCCCTAAGCCCTAAGCCCTAAGCCCTAAGCACTAAGCCCTAAGCCCTAAGCCCTTAGCCCTTAGCCCTTAGCCCTTAGCCCTTAGCCCTTAAGCCCTAAGCCCGAAGCCCTAAACCCAACCCTCCGCCCCTCTCCTTTCCTTGGAGCGTGCACTGGGAAGGTGAGTCTGAAGCGGAATGTTCAACGGCTGGTTGCCAACAAGACGCTCATCTGTGACCCAAACCCTACACCTCTTTGGGGCTGCGGGCGCCGTAAGTTATGTTCAAGAATGTGTCCTCTAGAGAGATCACTGCTTACTGTTAGGGTTTAGGCTTTAGGCTCTAGGCTCTAGGCTCCTCTAGGCTCTAGGCTCTAGGCTCTAGGCTTTAGGCTTTAGCCTTTAGGCTTTAGGCTTTAGGCTATAGGCTTCAGGGCAAAGTTCAGGGATTCTTTCCTAAACGTTCGTGCAGCATTTGCAGAATGGACTCTTCCTCCAACAGGCAGACCAGAAACTCGGTAGGCCCCTGGAATATGTGATATCTTCCCTTATTTGGGTGGAGCCCTCCTACTCAGGAATGGGTTCAAAGGGCCATCCTAGAAACCCTAAACCCTAAACCCCATAACCCTACAGGCTCGTCACGATGGACAGCATGCAGCCCTAGCTGCCTTTCATGCTGTGATGCAGTACAGTTTTGACCAGCATGAAGTTTATGTTGTCGGAGCCTGGGCCGTCTTTAGGGTTGGCAAGCATGTTTTGTTGGGAGCTGCTGATGTTCTGACAAGTCACAGCATCGAAGGCTTTCAACCACTTGAGGGCTGAGCCCCCGGAAGAATTCATGGTGCGTCTTACGATTCTACCAACAGCAGGAGAAGAAACCCCACAACCCTAAACCCTAAACCCTAAACCCTAAACCCCTAAGGAAGTTCCTGGAGATGCAGAAGAGCCAGCGAAGCTGGGCCATCTCGGTCGATGGCCTCGAGGCAGAACTCAACGGTGCCCTGGCAGCCCAGGGGAGCAACATGAAAGACTCCAAGGTGCGATAGCTTCCGAATGTTTTTTAGGGGGTTTAGGGTTTAGGGTCTAGGGTTTAGGGTTTAGGGTTTAGGGTGTATATGTTAGGTGTCCTCTTGGGGTCACAAGGAATATAAACCGTACTTCATGTGGGAGTTCTTCGGACAGGAGCTTCTGTGGAGGTTGCTGTGCTGATCGTAGGGGTTTCGTAGAGTTTTCGTAGGGGTTTAGGGCTGCGTGCGTCAGGGACAGAGTGACTGGCTCTGCAACCCTGAACCCTAAACCGCTCGAGAGATTGAAGGTGGTTTTTGGTGCAACCATCAACCCACTTCAGTGATTCTTCCCAGGGTGTTGAACTGACAGGCAAGATGATGGCACTAAACGCATGGAGTATTGCAATGCTTCGCGCGAATCGTCAGGAATCACAAGCCGTGGACTACATAAACAAGAGCGTGTATATATATGATTCAGCCCCGGCGGCCCCCCCCCCCCCCCCCCCCCCCCCCCCCCCCCCCCCCCCCCCAATGGTACCCCCCCCCCCCCCCCCCCTGTGGTGTGGTTGGGGTTGGTTTTAGGGTTTTTTTAGGGTTTAGGGTTTAGGGTTTAGGGTTTTAGGGTTTTAGGGTTTTAGGGTTTAGGGTTTAGGGTTTAGGTTTAGGGTTTAGGGTTTAGGGTTTAGGTTTAGGGTTTCCCCGCGGATGGGGTACTAAGATGATCCCCCCCCCCCTGTGGTGTGGTTGGGGGTTGGTTTTAGGGTTAGGGTTTAGGGTTCAGGGTTTTAGGGTTAGGGTTTAAGGTTTAAGACTTAAGGTTTAGGGTTTTAGGGTTAGGGGTTGGTTTAGGGTTTAGGGTTTTTTAGGTTTAGGGTTTAGGTTTTAGGGGTTTAGGGTTTTTAGGGTTTTTAGGGTTTAGGGTTTAGGGACCGTAGAGTGGCTTGGGGGGGGGGGGGGGGCCATGGGGGGGGGGGGGGCCCAGGACGCTCGACGCTGAACCATATATATATATATAATACATATATGTATACACATACATACATACATAAAAGATACATGTATGTACATACAACTGCAAAACGGAACTAGCCCAAACCACAACCAGCAAAGCCTTGTCCAAGGCGTCTACAATCGAAGCGGAGCGCGAAATGGAATGCCCATGCAACTCAGCAACAGTGTCTGAGGAGTCTAGGGTTCATGGTTTAGGGTTTAGGGTTTAGGGTTTAGGGTGTAGAGTGCCGAACTCCGCAAGCTCAATTTGTGGTTCTTCAACCATTGCAGATTTCAGGGTGCAGGGCTTAGATTCTTGGTAGCCCAGAGGTACCCTTTGCCCTTTTTGTTGTGGTTTCCCCTTTTTAAAGTAGCCAACCCCAAGAAGGGTGCCCTTATTGAAATGTGGTTCCTGGGCTACCAAGATGAAAGTTTGGATGGGTCTTGGGAGTTCAGGGTCCCCGGATGCGAGATCGCCTCTGGGAGCTGCATCGGATGCACCGATCCCGTGAAGTCCTGAGGGTTAAGGGTTTAGGGTTTAGGGTTTAGGGTTTCGGGTTTAGGGTTTAGGGTTTAGGGTTTAGGGCGTCTCGCCGCGCAGCGGCAGTAAGTGCCATGCGTAAATGGCGCAGGGGGTGTGTGGGGGGGCGGCATGTCACGCGAAGGCATCTCTTGTCAATGTAATCCAACAATTTCATTGGTGCTGGGTTCTTCTCCCCACCCGCTGTGAGCTTTCACAGGCCACCACCCAAACCACTTTTTTTTAGGGTTTAGGGCTGTCGCCCTCAATTCCCACCATTGCTTCCCTGCAAAGGCGTGGTGAAGGTAGTGGGGCGGGGGTCAGGTAAGGGGGAACACCAGGGTCTAGGGCGGCGGCTTGAGGGGGGGGGTCAGGGAGGGGCTCAGGTGGGGTTTGGCCAAACCCTCGCAGGAAAAGGGCGTTTTTGGCTCGGGAAGGGGTACCCCCCATGGCGGAGCCTGGATTTCAGGATTTTAGGGTCAGGGTCCAGAGGGCCTCCAGAGGGGGGCGGCTTTGGTCCTGAAGGGCTCTCTATTCGACCATTCTCCAATGGCTCCCCATTGTCCATCCAGTAAAGGTGTCCATCACAGCCGGTCCAGGCACCCTAGAAAAGGGTGGGTACGGTCTAAGCAGGCCGGATGGGAATTTGGGGTTTTGGGTTTAGGGTTTTGGGAGCCTTCAACAGCCGACTCGATGAGTTGTTGCTGGTTCTGGGCTTCCAAAGGATTCTTGGGGGTCGACTTGAACATATACCCGTGCAGCAAGCTGCACAACTGGCAATTAGACCAAGGGCTCCACGTATGAAAAGAAAGTGTGGGTATACGTATACATACATAGTTACATAGTATAAATCAGTAAATACATCACCATATAAATAAATGTATAACTATTTAAATAAACACTATACTCTATATATATATATATATATATATATATATGCATGTGTTTTTCAACATCCGCACATACGCACCTATAGACGTGTATGCACTCATGGCTATATATATATATATATATATATATAATGATATATATATATATATAATACATACATGTACAGGCCTATACAGAGAAAGACATACATACGCATATACATATCCTCATACATATACATGTACATGTACATGACACGCATTTTCACGTACAGGGCGAGAGGGCGAGAGGGCGAGAGTGCTTGCTGTCAATAAGTGGGCGGGATTGGCTTTCTTAGGGCGTAGTACGTCAAGCCTCAGATTTAAGGATCTCCTCTATACCTGATTGACCTACATGTTCTTCACCTATATGCCTGCAAAATCCCCCGAAATCTGAACACTTAGAGCCCTTGCCGCCAAGGTATCTGAAGCAGGGGAAGGCTGCCATCTTCTACTCCTCTACCGCCAAAGCCTGGCGGATCGTGGAGCTCGCGTCCGACATTGATCTGAAGGTTTCCTCAGACAGCCCCATATTCTAAGGGTAGTTCTATGGGCCCTTAATTCTCAGAAATGTTCAACATACCCCTAGGGCATACCCCCTTAACAGAAATTAAGGGGTCTGGTCAAAATCCTCCCTCAGACTACCTTATACTATACTTTCATAGGTTAAGGGGTATGGGTTTGGGGTATGGTGAGTTGTTTTTAGATTAATATGCTCCCTTACAATCTGGAAAGGGTTCTGCACTATGGGCCCTTGGGTTGTACAGGGTATATATATGGGGTGTATAAGCGGTCCCCTCCTACAAGCCACATATTCATAAGGATCCTACTATTGGGGCATAAGTTGCTCTGGAAAACCCTCTTTGCAGAATCCTTCTGTTTATGTGGTTTGGGGGGGGCCCCCTAGAAGAAAGCGCTCAAATAGTAGGGGAGGCCTGCGTCATCACTAGGTCCGTATATGGATTCATTCGGGGAGAGGATTAGGGGGACCCTTGGGGATATAGAATGGATATAGACCCTCTGAAGAAGGTCCCTGTTTAAGAGAGCCAGCAGAGGGTTAAGAAGGGTTCCCTTTTAAGGGCCCCCCTTCTCCTACCTAGGATTCATTGAGTAGTTCCCGATATGTAGTAGGAAACAAGGTGCCCCGAGATTTAGCAGTCAAGGCCGAAACCTTGAGAAGCCCAATAAGACCCTTCAAAAAACAACAACCCAAAACCCAAATCCCTAAAACCCTAAACCCCAAGAGCCCTTCAAAAACAACAACCCAAAACCCGAAATGCTAAACCCTAAACCCTGAACCCCAAGAGCCCTTCAATAACAACAACCCTAAACCCTAAACCCCTAAACCCCAAGAGCCATTCAAAAACAACAACCCCAAACCCTAAACCCCAAACCCCAAACCCTAAACCCTAAACCCCAGGAGCCCTTCAAAAACCAGCAGGGAAGAGCCCAGACGTCCAGGTCGCCGACCTGGACACCCAGAAGATGATCGCCTCGGTCGATGCGGCCACTTACTTCTCCAAGAGCTGAACTTTAAACTTTTAGGGTTTAGGGTTTAGGGTTTAGGGTTAGGGTTTAGGGTTTAGGGTTTAGGGATTAGGGTTTAGGGTTTAGGGTTTAGGGTTTAGGGTTTAGGGTTTAGGGTTTAGGGTTTAGGGCACTTTTTGGGTTTCCTTATTTAGCTACTTTTTTTCCCCTTGGTTATCGGAGAAGCTGAACTTTGTAAACTTTTGGGGTTTCCTTGTTTAGTAGAAAGAATGAAGTTTAACCTTTTTTCCCCTTGGTTATTGGAGAAGTAAGGCCAAGGAGGAGCTGACTCCGCCCAGAGAAGGCAGCGAGGGTCGTGGGGTTTAGGGTTTAGGGTTTGGGGTTTAGGGTTTAGGGCTTAGGGGTTTAGGGGTTTAAGGGTTTTGGGTTTAGGGACCACGGGCTTGGCTATTTTTGTTGCTTGCTTGGGCTACTTGCTTGGGTCTCAGGGTTTGGGACTTCCGGTTTGTGGGCTTTGGTTTTTTTTAGTTGTTGTTGCTGGGGGGATGGTTGCTGCTTTAGCATTGCAAGGTCTTAGACTCTGGGCTCTTTTGTTTGGTTTTTTAATTGTTCTGGGGGGTGGCTTCAGAGGATTCGGGCCAAATGCAGAAGAACAAGAGCAACCTACTTGTTATGCAACCCCCCCCCCCCCCCTCCCTCCCAGCCGGTATAGAATAGAAGCCTCAAGTGAGCCTCGTTGAACCTCTGAGGATGGGAGCGCCCACGCGAAACGCTGCTGATGTTCCGTTGGGGGGGAGAGGGGGGGGGGGGAGGGGAGGGCAGGGGAGTTGGGGGAGGGCTGTAGGAGGTTGAAAGGCTCGGCGTCGGGGTTTCGAGCTTGAGGGGCTTATACTTCAGGGTGTAGGGCTTGCGAAATGTTGCGGAAGGTGTTGTGTTTAAATTCGGGTGTTTGAGGTTTCTGGCCTCCAAGCCTTTTTGGGTCTTGCAGGGTGAGAGGTTTAGGGGATTCGTGGCCTAGGACTTTAGGGGTCTAGAGTTTAGGGGCTTAGCGGGTTAGGTTCAGGACTTCGGGGCTTGCGCTGGGGGTCTAGGTTCAGGGACTGCCTTTAGGATTTGAGACTGAGGGAATTGGGGTCCATAATTAGCGTTGTTGCAGCGCTAGATGAGGCCCCGAACCCTAAGCCCTAAACATCTCGGATTTCGACTTTAGGGTTTTGGGGTTCACAGGGCTAGGTTCGACCATGATGTTTTAATTGTTATTTCCCTTAATCCCCAGAAAAATCCTCATAACGCCAGCAGTTTCCATTGGTGCAGGGCCCCCCAAAACCTACCCCTTCAGGTGCCGCCCGCGTAGCGTCAGGCTGTGTTAGCTTCCCGGGGGCACCAAGGAAGTCATGGGCTACGTGCCGATGGAGGACTTCAAGACTGCCGCCCAGAAATCTGCTGTCCCTCACCGGACATATGGTTTGGGTTTAGTGTTTGGGGTTTGGGGTTTGGGGGGGGGGGTTCTTTCAGGGATTTGGGGTTTGGGGTTTGGGGTTTGGGGTTTGGGGTTTGGGGGGGGGGTTCTAACACGGATTTCGGACTGTCCAGAGAGCCTTGGTTCATAAGTTATGCTCTGGTTCTCGATGGCAGAAGCCCGAGCAGGAATGAAAAGCCTCTACAACTCACAGCCTTGAACCCATGAATCCTCAACTATGGGGGTTTTGGGTTCTAGGCTTTCAAGGGGCTTTTCTGGGTGAAAGCCCTAAACCCCAAACCCCAGGCCCCAAACCCTAAACCCTAAACCTTAAACCCTAAACCCAAACCCTAAGCCCTAAACCCCAAGCCCTAAACCTTAAGCCCTAAACCCCAAGCCCTAAACCCTAAGCCCTAAACCCCAAGCCCTAAACCCTAAGCCCTAAACCTTAAACCCTAAACCCTATAAAGGCGGCTCTGGGCACGTCTGAGGCAGCGTTTTTTGGGTTTATTGGGCTTCTGAATACGGCAGCTAAAAACCCTAAACCCGAAACCCTAACCCTAAACCCTAAACCCTAAACCCTAAACCCTAAACCCTAAACCCTAAACCCTAAACCCTAAACCCTAAACCCTAAACCCTAAACCCTAAACCCTAAACCCTAAACCCTAAACCCTAAACTTAATTTTAGCACTACCCTCCTAAGTGCAGCCAAGAGGCAAAACCGGAGGAAATCCAGAAGCTCGTGGATCGATTGAAGGGCGCCCTGTCCTGTCCTGCGCAGTGCTTTCGGGGACTGACGACTGGGTTTAGGGTTTAGGGTTTAGGGGGTTTAGGGTTTAGGGGGGTTTAGGGTTTGGGGTTTGGGGTTTGGGGTTTGGGGTTTGGGGTTTGGGGTTTGGGGTTCAGGGTAATTAGGGTTTCGGGTTGTGTTGTGACGCTCGATCCGGGATGCAAGGCTCAGGAAAAGAGAAAGGTTGAGGGTTGGAGGACATGGGGCAAGGCTGGAGGGCGTGGAACTGAGGTTCCGGTCGCATGCTAGAGTTTGAAGTTCAAGGTTTTGGCTTCAGAGAATATGTCTCATCATAGGTGATTTTGTATGTTTGCTGGATCCCACAACTCCAAAATTCGAGTCCCTAGAGCCTGAGGATCTGGGTTTTAGGATAAAGACTCTAGAGGACAATCTTATGTCAGTGTTTTTTTGGCTTTAAACACTTACTACAATTTGCATCAGAACCCCCGACAAAGAAATAAAGGGAAGAATCTTGTTGGTATTTCTTGGGTGCCTTACTTGGAGGTTCATGGGTAGTAGGGGAACTATCTTTATACATGCTTATTATATCCTTATTCAGGGTACTTGTATCCCTACTTCTACCTAGCTATGAACCTCCAAGTAAGGAGGTTCTATGGGCCACAGCCCCCACGTGCAGCATCCCCAGGCAATCTGCCCTCGGGCCAGACAGTGGTCTTTCGCTCCAACGGCAACCTGGACGGGGTTTGGGGTTTAGGTTTTTAGGGTTTAGGGTGTAGGGTTTAGGGTTTTTGTGTTGTAGGGTTTAGGGTAACCCTCAGCCCTAGAGCTGTCACGGCTCTTCCGGTGGTCAGGAGTGATTTGTCCGATGAGCCCCAATCCAGTATAGGACCTTAGAAGTTAGAAGCCCAGCTAGCGCAATGGGCAGTAACGTGATACGGGAACCTGAATAAATACCACCATGAGCCCCTTATAGTCCTGATGTGGTTCAATGGACATGACACCAACAGCACCAAAGAGCCCACGACCTCTTAAATAAGGAATGTGCCTTAAATCATATAGGGATCCTGAATATAATTTAAGGTATATTCCTCATTTAAGGGGTATTGGGCTCTCTGGGACCATAATCATTCTGAAAGAGTCGGCCGCTATCCTCTCCCCTCCGCCCCTCCCACGGTCGCCTTTCGGAATCCTCATTCCTAAACCCTCATTTTAGGGTTTAGGGTTTAGGGTCCCCGGTTCATGTAGAATGACGAGGGTTGGTCTAAACCCTAAACTTTGGGGCCCATTTTGGTTTAATATTCTGGGGTTCCCTAAGGGTCCATGTACCCAAATATGGAATAATTTCCTCTGTAAGTACTTTGGGGCCCAAGTACAAATACTGAGGTACACTTGGGAGCTACTTTGGGCTCCTGACCCTTCGAGGAATAGACTCTGACGCAGCCCCGAAAAGCCTGCATATGGCTTTAGACTTTCGGGTTTCAGGTCCCTAAGCCCTAAACCCAAAACCCCTATACCCTATACCCTAAACCCTAAACCCTAAACCCTAAGCCCTAAGCCCTAAACCCTAAACCCTAAACCCAACACATTGGGAGAGTGTTCCAGGCAAGGCCTCGCTGGAGTCGGAGTGGGAGAAGGTCTCCACGCCGCAGATCGGGGCCGAGGATTGCTGGTCAGCGGCCGTGGAGCTCAGCCGCTTGGAGCAACTTCCCAAGGCATTGGGTTTAGGGTTTAGGGTTTAGGGTTTAGGGTTTAGGGTTTACGGATTAGGGTTTTGAGAGTGGGGGGTTTGGGGTTTGGGGAGTGTAGGGTTTTGAGATTTAGGGTTTAGGGTTTAGGCAGGGAATGGCAGGATTGTACCTGGGTTTTCGAAGGTACTGGTTTTGTTTGCGGTGTTTGTGCCCCTGAAGTGGAAGTAAGGGTGCTATCCCCTACTCATTTGAAGGCTCCGCGTGTTCGAGGCAGGGCTTTCAAGTTTTGTCGGGCCGTAGGGCTTGGGTGTGGAGCTCAGGGTCAAGGTTTACACTCGGGTTTAGGGTTTAGGGTTGAAGAGCATAGGCTTAGGGTTGAGGGTTTGGGGTTGATCAAAATGCCTCGCTTGTTTGGGGCTTAGGGCTTAGAGTTAGGCTTTATTGCCGAGCCATCGGCAAGGTTGCCTAGTACTTTCTACCACTGCCGAAGGCCATCTAAGTTTCCCTAAGGTTCCCCCCCTCCCTTAAGAACCCTAATGAAGACTTGCTGTTAATTATTATAAAACATGGGGGAATGAGGTACCCTGTCTAATCCCTTGAAGGGTATGTATTAGTCCTTGCAACAGGCACTTCCCCTGAAACCTTAGAGCTGCTTGCTCTGGTCGTGCCCCGAGAACCAGCCTATAAACTATACAGACCAAACCACCCTAAACCCTAAACCACCTTAAGCCCAACCCCTGAGCCCTAAACCTCCTTAAGCCCTAGAAAACACCTGCAAGAAAGCTTGTTAAAACCCTACAAGAACACTAGAACAAAAAAAAAAACTAAACCCGAAACCCTAAATCAACCCGACAAAACCTACCACAACCCCTATAAAGAAAGCAAACCCAAGGCCAGCACAAGCTGCTGGAAAGCTACGGGCTGGGGAAATGCAAGGCGCAGCGCTTCCGGGGATTCTCAAGTGTGGGTTTAGGGTTTAGGGTTTAGGGTCTAGGCTTGAGGTCTTCGAGTTCTTCATCGACTTTAAAGGTTCAGACACCTTTTTTAGCTTGCCGAACGAATCTGGGGCTGGCTTATGGGGATAGGCTCCGAATCGGGAATAAGTGGGAACTCGGAACCTTCCACCCCCCTCCTTTTGTAGCCCATGAAGGGCTCCCTCCTTAGGGCTTTGCCAAATTTGGAGCCTGTTTCTCCTGGCATCTGACATCGTAATCCCTTGGGCCTTACTCTCAAACCTACAACTATGAACCCTAGGAGCCCTTGGACTCTACCCTGTGAGTTGTAAATGCCCTTTTTACGCTGGAAACCTCACAAACCCTAAAGTAATCCTGTAAACTATGACTTCCCCTAATGCCCGATAGACCCGAACCCTAAACCCTATATAGGACTTCCCTAGACCCTAGACCCTTACACTACGCTTTGTGGTACTTTACTGTAACTTTAGATCCTTACCCTTTTTGGGTTTATTGGGTTTCTTAATAAGGCAGCTAAAAGTATAATTTATAGCTACCCTCCCGAGTGCAGCCAAGCACGGTTTGCTTAAGCAACCCCAACAAAACCAAGAAAACATTCTCTTTATCAGACCAAAGATTGGGCTTATTGTCTTTCGTTGCTTGGGGGTTCTTAAGCAAGCAATGGATAAGGGTACCCATTATGGTATATCCTAACCCGAAAGCCTACACCCTAAACCCTAAACCCTGTAGTAAACAGGTGGTTGAGACCGCCCACCCCTACGAGACGGCCGACCACTCCTTCACGCGCCGGGTCACCGTGGACACCGAGGGCGGCCTCGGATTCAGAGTTCAGAGTTCAGGGTTCAGGGTTCAGGGTTTAGGATTTCGGGTTTAGGGTTTAGGGCTGAGGGTTGAAGAGCTCAGGCTTAGGGTTGGGCTTCGGGTTGAAGATGGGCCCTGGCCTGCCTCATTCTCTAGCCCCAGGCGTGATGGCTTTCTTGAAAAGAGGGGGCTGAGGTTGTGCTTTGGGATCGTGTAAAAGATTTTATTCCGGGCTTCTAAGCTTATCTCGGGAGGGTGGCGGGCCTTATCGGGTGTAGGGCTTTCGGGGATCAGGGATGACTTGCGTGTTCACGATATTTGGGGTACCTTCCTTATTATAAGGGGATGGGGTCTATTTTAGGGGTCCCCTGTTTTCGAACCCTAGACCCTAAACCCTAAACCCTAAACCCTAAACCCTAAACCCTAAACGAACATGACCTGCTATGCAAGAGGTGGCATCGACATCCACTTCGCCCCGGAGTGTCGCACCTACGACCACCGAACTACGCTCAGCACCTCGGTGGCGCGCAGGGTTAGGGTTTAGGGTTTAGGGTTTAGGGTTCACCACAGACTCCCACGACAAGTCCGAAGATTTATGTCAGGTACTGGGCAGCCCAGTCCCGTCAAGGGGCTATATGGTCAGATGGCCCCTTTTTGGGTAGCCTAAATGTTAGGCGCCCCTGTTTATTTATTTGTGAGCCCAAATAAAGGGACCATCATTTACAGAAGTGACCATGTATTTGCTGCTTTGTAGCTTCAGCGTTACAAGAGGAGGCCATCGACGTTGAGGGGCCGCAGGGGTTTTTGGGCTCAGGGCTGCAGAGTTACTGTGCTGCAGCGGCTGCCTTTTCTCTGGAGAATCCGGCTTTCTTTCGGGCGGTCTGTGAGGATGGAGGCACCCCAAGGCTTAGATGGCCGCCCCCCCCCACCCCAAAACCCCCAAGCCGCCCTGGGTTGCAGGGTTTTGGCTACCCCGCCTGGAAGGTATCTTCGGTGGCGGCCTGAGCAAGGCTCTTGTGGGCATCGGCGCCCGCGTCCACGCGAAGGTGGGGGGTGAAGGTTTCGGAGGGTTTCGGGTTCCGGGCACACAACGGCTGCATAGGGCTTTGATACTTCATGGCGCCCTAAACCCAAACTCGAAAACACAGACGTCCGTGTGGTTGAGACGCGTTCTTTGACCTAGGACGGTGTAGGGGCTGTGGCGAATGAGATGCATAGGGTGCAGTGGCGTCCTGCAGTGGGGGCAGGGGTTTCAGGGTTTTGGGAATTTTGCGGTTTTCGAAATGTAGGGTTTGAAGCTTGGGGTTCGGGTGGGTTTAGGGCATTGGGAAGCTACGCATGTGTGGTTCAGGCGCGAGGTTACACCCCCTCAAGCAAGGCTCGTCACAGTGGCGGATGCCTACCAACCTCTTAGCCTTGAACCCCGTCAGAGAGCCCAATACCCCTTAAATAAGGAATATACCTTGAATAGCCCAATACCCCTTAAATGAGGAACATACCTTAAATCATATTAAGGATCCCTATATGACTCAAATTATCTTCCTTATTTAAGAGGTGTTGGGCTCTTTGGGCCTCCTTTGCAGGCAGCCGTATATTCCTAGAAGGCTCTGACATGTGTTACGCCATGAACACTCAACCTAAACCCTAAACCCTAAACCCTAAAACCCTAAACCCTAAACCCTAAACCCTAAGCTCAAATCTACTTGTGTTGGGGGTCAAGCCTCAAGGTGGTGACCGGACGCGAAGAGGCGGGCTTTTCAGATTGTCTTCTGCCGTTGCTTATAGGCTAACTTGCGAATGCTGCTGGGCGTCAAGGGGGCACCCTCTGAGCCTCACCCGCACAAGCCCTCTTCGCCCGACATCCCTCCCCTAAACCCTAAACTCGAAACCCTAGATCTAAGGGCAATTATATGGGCCCTTAATATGGTCCCTTACCTCCTTTAAAGGGTTCTGAAGTATGGGCCCTTGGATTTTATAGGGTATATAATGAGTATATAATGAGTATATAAGGGGTCCTCTTTTAAGGGCCCACACTAAGGGACGAGCAGCTTTCGTATCGAAGAGGCAGATTTGATCATCTAGTTTGGGGGCAGGGGGAGCGGCCCTGGGCTTCTAGTCTAAGGGGTCAGGGGTAGCTTCATTTAGGTTTGTCAGGCTCCGGCAAATCATAACCGTATTAATTTTGGTTAACTTACTGACTCAAAACCCAACTTTTCAACTTGTGAGCTTCTTATAAGGTAGTTTATTCTGAAAGTTTCAACTTTTACTTCCTTGCGTTTTGGGGCCAGTAAGTTAACATTAGTGCTGCCTGCGCTGAGTTCATGATTACTTTCACGATTCGTCCGTCCAAAGCTCCATTCATCTCACCGTTGTTATGCTCACAACTGTTTCACGATAGTTACAGTTCATCAGCACTCGATCATGAGCCTCACTAGCGCGCTCATGATTGTTGTCTTTATGATGGTTGCCCTAAACCCTAAACCCTAAACTCAATCTGCATTGAGCATGCGAGATGCAAACCTTATTGTTCCCAAACCCGGACCGCCTGACAACCCTCCTGCTGCTGCTTCTGCTGCTGCTGCCAATGCTACGTCGCTGTGAAGATACATTCCTAGCAAACTGAGAATACGATGGAGACAGTTGGCCCGCGCGTGCAAGGCCCACGGTACCATCATTGGCCCCCTGGCATCAAGTTTGTGGCACTGCAGGCTTTGTCGAACACAAGAGGCCCCAAGAGGCTTAAAACTGAACCTCCAGTCCGAAACCGTAGAATTCTCCCCTTAAACCCTAAACCATAAAACCTAAACCCTAAACCCTAAACCCTAAACCCCAAACCGCAGCCTTTAGGGTTACAGGCCTTCAGGTTTCGAGTCTGGAGGGATGACTTGCGGGTCGGCCTCTGAACCCTCGGGCGTCGACCCAGGCAGCAATCCAGAGGGTCTACTTATAGCCTGAGTAGGTAAGTAGGTACGTGCCTAGTTCTAAACCCTAAACCCTAAACCCTAAACCCTAAACCCTAAACCCTAAACCCTAAACCCTAAACCCTAAACCCTAAACCCTAAACCCTAAACCCTAAACCCTAAACCGCAGGCTTAGGGTTAGAATCAGCCCCTTGCGTTCCCCCAGGTCGTGCCGAGGGTGGCCTCTGGAAGGTCCGTATCGATGCCGACGAGGCGGAGATCTGCGGCGTCTTCCAGGCCTGGTGGCTTAAGTCTGAATATGGGCTTACAGGGTTTAGGGTTTAGGGTTCAGGGTTCAGGGTTCAGAGTTCAGGGTTTAGGGTTTAGGGTTTAGGGTGGTTAGGGTGGGAACTCTTTGCAGAGGGTTTGGAGGGATGCGGTGGCTGCCGGGTTAGAGTGTGGCATAGTGTCGAGAGTTTGTGAATATCATGGGTGAGAGAGAGTGTGTGTGTGTGTGTGTGTGTGTGTGTGTGTGTTTGTTTGTTTGTTTTTTTGTTTTTGTTTTTTGCTTATAGGCTCTGTGTGTTTGTTTTTTTCTTTGTCGCTTGCTTAGTCTCTGGGTGTGTGTGTGTGTGTGTGTTGTTCGTGGCTCTGGGCTTTGTGCTTGTACATTGATGTGTTAGTCGGGTGGTTCAGACTGCCCCAAACCCAGGACCTGATTTCTGGTGCTTCTATTTGCAGGCACTACATTTCTAATAGTTGGAACAGGGTTTTGGGGGTTATTATAGTACAACTACCAAGGGACCTTGAGGGAATACTAGTAGTCAGCAATCCCTTCCCCCTAATATTAAACCCCCCCCCTACCCCTAATATTAATTAGATACTACAATAGAACTATAATGGGGTGTAATTATTTAATACTAGGGGTGGGGGGGGGGGGTGGGGGATTAAGTGGTTAAGTTGGAAGGGAGGGAGTAGTGTAGAACATTGCATGAAAGGAGTGGCTCGAGGCGTCGGACAACGGCCGTGCCCGCCCTTCGGCTTGGACTCGAAACTCGAAACCCTAAACCCTCTAAATCCTACAGGCCCTAAATCCTGAGTTACCTCAGAACCCGAGGGGCCTGCCAAGGCCACTGGCCTTTAGTGTGTCTTTCAGCTGTTTTATTTATTTTGGAGGAACCTCATTATTTACCCTAAACCCTAAACCCTAAGTCCTGCCTCTTGGCAAAGCCCAGAGCGCATCGTTCTGAGGTTACTGCGTGAGCTGTGTTGCGGAGGAGCAGTGTCTTGGCGTTCACGGAAGCGTTTAGGGTTGGGGGTTTAGGGTTTAGGGTTTAGGGTTTAGGCTCTAGGGTTTCGGGTTAAGGGTTTGGGGCCCAGCTAGTGGGCTCCAAGATAGATGCAAGCCCCCTAAATTCAAGCTCCTAAGACGACTGGTAGCTCACTTCGACGATGCCCAAATTGAGACTGGGAACCCTTGAATCCCCATTCCTGACAAGTGCCCATTCCCCGGAGGGTCCTGGGGTTCTGGGGGTTTACGGGGTATAGGGTTCAGGGTTCGGGGCTTTCGGGGTTTAGGGTGGCGGGTTTAGTGGGTTGTTTTGCGGGTTAGAGGGCCGAAATCTCGACGAATCTCAGCATCTCAGGAAGACCGTCCAGGTGACGTATGAGGATGGCATGGCGGTGGGCAGCGAAATTGCAGGATTCAGGCTCTGCCTCCCTTAGCCCTGCTCCCCAAACCCTAAACCCTAAACCCTAAACCCTAATCCCTATCAGCCCTATTAGGATCAGACTGGGAAGGGATCCTCATCCTTCGTGTTTTTTGCGTCTTCTTCTGTTGTGGAGGGGGGGGGGGGGTCCGGCTCTGAAGCGTAAGCTGCATCGCCTGGAAGACACCACTTTAGGGTTTAGGGTTTAGGGTTTAGGGTTTAGGGTTTAGGGTAGTTACAGGACCCCAAAGTGGCCACAATGACCGCCTACAGACCCCACAGTTGAAGGTCCATATGCAAGTTGTACGCGTGATTTTGGCGGGAGAAGTAAAACACCCTACCTGGAGGTTCCCATGTGGTTCCTTCCTGGGGTTGGTGATAGGGGGATTGGCGTATGCTACGCCAACAAGGTACTACATTAGGGTTTAGGGTATCTAGGGTTTGTATAAGGTTTCGTTTCTAGGACTTCTAAGGTGTAGGTTCCTAGATTTTCCAGGGAAACTAGGGAAACTAGGGTTTAGGGTTTAGGGTTTAGGGGTTAGGGTTTAGGGTTCGATACACCAGAGCCCTTAGGTCGAAGCCCCAAAGCAGGTTCGATGTCGCCGACCCCCTCGCGCCTTTCACAGTCACCGGCTTCTCTTCCCGGAAGGCCAGACCCAAACCCCCCTTAACCCCCCAAACCCCCCCTAAACCCCCCTAAACCCCCCTTAACCGCCCTTAAACCCCCTAAACCCTAACCCCTAAACCCTAAACCCCGTAAACCCTAACCCCTCAATCTGAAACCCCGCTAAGCCCAAACCCTGCAAATCCTAAACCGCAAACCCACAAGCCCTCAACCCAAAGAATGGATTGAAGGCCCCTGGCATGGTCCGTTGGGTGTTTCACTGTTTGAGGTTCTCGGTAGCCCAGTTCTTTTATAAAATGACCAACCCCAAGAAAGGTTATCTTTACTTACGGTATGGTTACTGGGCTACGAAGGGTTTGGGCTTTGTGGCTTGGTCTCAAGCCAAGTAGTCTTTTATCATTCTTCTTTTTCAAGTTCAGGGTCTAGGGCAGCTTCGAGGCCTTTGGGTAGTTAGAAGCAGGGTAATAAGCAGGATGACTCTGGTTGTAACCTTATTCATGGTACTGAAGGCTGCATGCAAAACCCTGAACTCGAACCCGTGCAACTTCCTTGCAGGCCTGCTTTGAGAGTCACGGGCTTCTGGTTTGGGGTTTAAGGTTAGGGTTTAGGGTTTAGGGTTTAGGGTTTAGGGTTTAGGGTTTAGGTTTTAGGGTTTAGGGTTTAGGGTTTAGGGTTTAGGGTTTAGGGTTTAGGGTTTAGGGTTTAGGGTTTAGGGTTTAGGGCGTTGCGGATGCTCTCCAGCTGCACCACGTGGAGCTTTCGAAGTGCTCACTGCGAACAGCAACCGGAAAACAATGAATTTTGAAAACCCTTGACCCTAAAGCATCCTTTTGGCTAGGATGCCCAGTAGTATCCTTATTCCCTTTTTGGGGGGTTTAGGTTCCCTTATAAACCCCTTTACGCAAAAAAGGGCACCCTTTTAAAACCTAGGTTACTGGGCAGCCTAGTTGGCAAACTCAACCGACTCTAAGCAAAACACAGTCAAAAAATGATTGGAACATGGCTTTGGGGCAAACGCTAGCAACCGGAGCACGCAGAATACGTGGAATCACTTGGAGGTTCATGGGTAGTCCCTCACACCCCCCCACCCCAACGCCTCAACGCCCCCCAAACCTTAGAGAATATGCACCTAGCCACCTGCCAAGCGCCTGAAAGCAACCAACCTTTCAGCCGCCAGAACCTGTAGACGATCAGCCCCTCAGCCCGAGGGACCTGCGCAAGCAGCTGGAGTCATGGTCGGCTGGTTCCTGGACGTGGGCGCGCTGCTGCGAGAGGATTTGAGAGTCGGGTTCCCCTTCTCCCTCCCCTCCCTTCCCGCCCCCCCCCCCCCCCCCAAAAGGCATTATAGGGGCCTAAATAATTGACCAGGGTATTGGATGATAGTATACTTCCATAAGGGCTTACACTTTTCGGGTATAGGATTTAGGATTTAGGGTTTAGGGTTTAGGGTGAATACTTAAACCCAAAGATACCAACAATTATCATGTTTCAACATTACTACCCGAAAACCCAAAAAAGAACAACACATGATCATTTTTGAAATACTACCCCAAAACCCAATGAGGAACAAAATTAGTCATTCTTTAAATAGTACCCTAAAACCCAACAAGGAACAAGCATGATCATTTCAAAAGAGTCCCCCTTATACTAGCAGTCCTTAGTAGGGATTCTAGTACCCCGCTATCCCGAATCGCCATTAAGGACTGTTAGTACAAGGGGGAACATCCCAAGCATTAAAACCCTAAACCCTAAACCCTAAAGCCCTAAAGCCCTAAACCCTAAGGCCCTAAAGCCCTGAAGCCCTGAAGCCCTATAAACCCTAAACCCTAAACCCTTAAGCCCTAAACCCTAAACCCTAAACCCTAAACCCTAAACCCTAAACCCTAAACCCTAAACCCCCAAGCCATGGCGCAGATTGCGCCCCGAGGAGCAGTTCGTCGAGCTCGAGGGCGAGGACCTGGGCCCGGTTCCCACCAACCTGGCGGATGCACCTCGGGTGGGTTTAGGGTTTAGGGTTTAGGGTTTAGGGTTTAGGGTTTAGGGTTTAGGGTTTAGGGTTTAGGATTTAGGGTTTAGGGTTTAGGGTTTAGGGTTTAGGGTTTAGGGTTTATCCATTTAGGGCCCTTGCAACTCAGGGAGGTTTAGGGTTTAGGGTTTAGGGTTTTGGGGTTTAGGGTCTAGGGTTTCTAGGGTTTCTAGGGATTATAGGGTGTATGGGGTTTATAGGGCTTATAGGGTTTCTAGGGTTTCTAGGGTTTATAGGGTTTCTAGGGTTTCTAGGGTTTATAGTGTTTACAGGGTTTCTAGGGTTTCTAGGGGTTTATAGGGTTTCTAGGGTTTCTGGGGTTTATAGGGTTTCTAGGGTTTCTAGGGTTTATAGGGTTTACAGGGTTTACAGGGTTTCTAGGGTTTCTAGGGTTTCTAGGGTTTCTAGGGTTTGTAGCAGGCTTTAGGGTGGCGTGTTCAAATTTGGAATCTTTGGTTTCGACTCAGGGAGCCCTTCTCCCTTTTTGGGGGGAACAGCAAGACTCCTCAAAGGTCTGTTGTTTATCTAGCAAGTTTTGTACTTTTTTCCGGGGGGGGGGGGGGGGGGGGGGGGTACCTCTGGGTACCACTCCTAGACTTTGACCCGCACTTGTTGTTCTTGTTCTGGGCAGGCACCTAATTTCTGACCCCTTCTATGTTAGAGCCATCCGCTCCGCCTGCAACCGTGCGCGTGAAAGGTTGCCGCGGAGCCGTTTCTGGAATCAGCCGGAACCCTAAACCCTAAACTGGGCATCCCAGCTCCTTTTTGTGGATACTGTGTTGCCGAGACAATGATGCCCAAGGCTCGCGCTAGAGGGCCTACAAAGGATTTGATTTTGGAGCCTCTGTGCTCTTTGCTTGTCCAACACCAGTCCTGAGATCTCGAAAGAGTTTAGGGTTTAGGGTTTAGGGTTTAGGGTTTAGGGTTTAGGGTTTAGGGTTTAGGGTTTAGGGTTTAGGGTTTAGGGTTTAGGGTTTAGGGTTTAGGGTTTAGGGCTCAAAGCTTCGGCTCTAGAGGTTCCTTACTCCGCCGCCATGTCTCTAAGTGTAGTTTCATGGGCCCTTAATGTATGGTCCCTTACCTCCCTTGAAGGGCTCTTCATGGGTTCCTCTACTACCCCCCTCGATACTACGCGCCCCTAGTTCCCCCCAGAATTCAGGCTATTTGGTGATAGTTAAGCCTAATTAAGGTTATTTAAGGGAGGAACCTAGAGGGCGTAGTGGAGAGAGGGGCAGTAGGGAAACCCATGCCCCCCCCCCCCCCCCCCCCCCCCAAAAAAAATTCAGGCTATTTAGGGCTAATTAAGCCTCATTAAGGTTATTTAAGGGGGGAACCTGGGGGGGTAGTTTGGGGGCACCCATGGGTTGTAGAGGGTATATAAGGGGTATATAGAGGGGTCCCCTTTGAAGGGTCATACTAAGGGAGCATGAAACTACCCTAAACCCTAAACCCTAAACCCTAAACCCTAAACCCCAAACCCCAAACCCCAAACCCTAAACCCGACAAGGTGGCCAAAAACATGGAGGCACAGGGCTGCTCAGTGTTGAGGGCGACTTTTGGGTTTAGGGTTTAGGGTTTAGGGTTTAGGGTTTAGGGTTTAGGGCTTGGGGTTTAGGGTTTAGGGTTTAGGGTTTAGGGTGAGCTTGCTTCGAACGGCCGGGTTCCTTGTTCGTTTCGTTTGGGTGGGCTGTGGGCCCACTTTTGGAAAGAGCCTGCGCGAGTTTTGCGAGGGGTCTTAGGACTCCTGGAGCCAAGCCCTAAACCCTAAACCCTAAACCCTAAACCCTAAACCCTAAACCCTAAACCCTAAGCCCTAAACCCAATAAAAGAATCAGGAACTCTGGCTTCTTTTGGGGGGGGATCCGCGATTCTGTCATCAAGCTTGTTACCGCGCTGTTAGGTGGTGATCAGGTCCCGGCCCCGAAACCCTAAACCCTAAACCCTACAACCTAAACTCTACACCCTAAACCCTCAACCCTCAACCCTAAACCCTAAACCCTGAACCCTAAACCCTCGAGGGATGACGACACCACAGGCTCAGCAGAGAAGTCTTTGGCCGAGTAGCGGCGTAGGGCTTGAGAAGGTTTAGTGTTCATAGGGTTTGGGGCTTAGGGTTCTATGTTTAGGGCTTCAGGGCTTAGGGCTCAGGGCTTAGGGCTTAGGGCTTAGGGTTTAGGGTTTAGGGTTTAGGGTTTAGGGGTCAGGGAACCGTCAGGCCTTCCAGCGGCGGCTCGAGGCACTCAGGGGCTGCTCCGAGGCCGACCCAGTATTCTGAAAGTGCATTTAGGGTTTAGGGTTCAGGGTTTGGGGTTTGGGGTTTAGGGTTTAGGGTTTAGAGTTTAGGCTTTAGGGTTTAGGGTTAGGGCTGCCTTGTGTCGAAGTGTCCAGGGTTCGGAGATCTCCTGCGGCTAGTCGGAGTTTTGTTAGCTGCGTTGTTGTTTGTTTTGCAGGTTTTGAGGGCTTAGGGCTTCTGATTAGCTTTGCAAACTTGCGTGGACTCGGGCCTGAAGTAAGGTTTAGGGTTCCGTTGAGTAAGTTGAGGGCTTAGGACCCAAGGCCCTCAGCCAACAGCGGCACAGACTAGGAACCAGCAGGGGCAGGCCCTTGTTTAGGGGTCAGGTTCCCATCTCAGCCAATAGTAGTGCCCATAATGGGTCTAGGGTTTGGGGTTTTAGGGTTTAGTCCTCAGTTCCTCAACGCACGAAAAGCTCATAAACCCACCGTAGACCCTACAACCTCACTCAAAGACCTCATGGGAAGGGCATTCCACCGTCCATAAGCCAAAACCTTGAACCCGAGCTGCTCAAAACCATGACCCTATTACGTACCCCATACTGAAGTTCACTTTTTTTAGGGTTTAGGGTTTAGGGTTTAGGCTTGACAGTTTCTCGGCATAGGATTGGGCGTGCAGGTCACTTTGACCTTCATGAACGGCTTGGATTTCCAGCAGCATGGCTCTTGATCCCCACGTCGGGGCATCATTTGGGGGTGTCCGAAATTGGGGTACCCTTTGGGAGGAGGGTGGCGGGAGTTCAGGATTAGAATATCTTGGGGTGTATGACACCCTTAACTTAACCCATAGGGAGCCGCGGGCAGGTGCCAGTTTGTTCACATTCGGGCTGTGGGGTTTTTCTCCCAGACGTGGTTTTACCCGCAGTCCATCTAGGGAAGCGGGGGGTTAACCCATATAATTCCGGAACCCTAAGCCCTAAACCCTAAATGCGGCTTTGGGAAGCGCCCATGTATGGCTCGCGCGTTTAGGCATTGTGGGTCTTCGGGTGACCCATAGCCTGACTTGAAGCTGTGTCTCGTCTTCGATGACCAAGCACGAAGGTCACAGGGGGGTTCTTTCAAATATGGTCCCCTCTGGGGTGCTCCCAAAGAAGACCCACAAGGGACCAGCACTTAGATAATTATATTGCTAGACGGCCACACCTCCAAAACCCCTCAGAAGCCTCTCAAAGCCAAAAGCCCCAAAGCCCCAGGAATCCGAAACGAACCCGGAAGCTCCGATAGCTCAACATAGCACTGCAACCCCCGCCCTAACACAAAGATAGCGAGAACAATACTCTGACCCTTTAAACACCAAAGCAACTTCCGAAAACGCCAGCATAGCCCCCACCAAAACCCCAAACTCGGTGATGTCGGGAGCCGAGGCTTTTGCCCCAGTGCCGGGTGAAGTACGACCAGGCACTGGGGTCTGTAGGCTTTTTGGGGGTTTTAGGGTTATAAGTTTAGGGGGCTTGGGATATAGGGCTCTTGGGGGTTTTGGAAGTATAGGGTTTAAGTTTAGGGGGCTGGGGATATACCATCCTGGTCGGCTGAGGATTCTCTGCTTGGGAGTCAGACCTTGGTTAAGGGTACTATGCGGTGCTTTGAAGATGCATTGGGGAAGCGGGAGACAGGGTTTACTTGAAGGTAGGCTTTGACATGTGTTGTAATCCTACACCCTCCACCCTAATTCCGAAAACCCTAAACCCTAAACCCTAAACCCTAAACCCTAAACCCTAAACCCTAAACCCTAAACCCTAAACCCTTGCACTGGTGTGCTTATGATGCCACTTGGTACTGCTCGTGAACCTACATGCGTTTGCGATGCGCGACGGCCTCGCAACTGGATTGCCTTGCTCATTCGCATATTTGACCGGGTTCAGACTTGCTCACGTCACTCCGGAAGATAGCTTTTCTACTTTGCTGGCTCGTTCTGCTTAGGTTTGGGGTAGACATGTGGATTTGTTCTGAAGCATGGTCCCTTCTTGCGTAGGGCGCAGGGGACCGTTTCACAAGAAGTCCCATTATCAATGGTATCTACAATCTACAAGATTCAAAAAAGGGAGCTCCATTTTTGACAACCAGCCAAGTAGTAGACTGTTTAGGGTTTAGGGTTTAGGGTTTAGGGGGGATTGGAGTTACTTAGTATACCTTTGTCACAGGAAGTGGGCAGCGAGATCTCGGGCCTCACGGAGAAAGGAGGCGTGGTGACCATCGACGGCTTTGCGGACACAGGCCTGGGACCAGGGTTTAGGGTTTAGGGTTTAGGCTCGGTCTTATAGTCCCCATAATCAACCCCATAAAGGGCCTTTTCAAGGCGTTATAGGGTCGAATAGCCCATCTTGGCAGTGTCCCCAGTTCTACCCTCTCCAAACCCCAAATACTACTGATCCCCGAAAGTCTCAACCCCTGAACCCCTGCACAGACTGCTTGTTCCTGGGAGCTACCACTTGCTTAAGAACCCCCCCCCCCCCCAAAAAAAAAAAAAACCTTCTTCCTTTTTCAGGGAAATGTAGAGACTAGTATTTTTTATCATTCTATCTACTTATTTTTCGGGGTTCGTAAGCACATCGTGGGGAGCTAGTGGTTGGACCTTCGAGTGTCTCAGCCTCCGCTGCAAAAAGCCCTGGCAAATGCGACTCGGTACCCCTGCTGGCCTGGATGGCCTGAGATACAACGCAAGAACTGCGCGGAAAAAAAAAAGAAAGATGCAGAAAAAAACATGAGAGAAACAAGCAACATTACTGCAATGTCCAGATAGGACCAGAGGCTGTCGACTATCGGTGGGTATTTGAGCACTCTATAGCTGCTCGCTAGGTAGCTGTTGATTTTTCTCCTTGGAAAAAAACGCATTTTCTGTTCTTTGCTTTTTCGACTGATCTGCATGATTGCATTCCAGCTGATTTTTTCGCTTTTTCAGCACATATTTTCTGTGGCACTGGGTCTGAGTTGTTTTTTCATTGCTTTCCTGTTGCGTTTTATTCGTTTTTTTTTACTTTTGGGTGGATGATGGCACGTGTTCCAGGAGCGGCTATCTTAACGACAGGAGACGAGACCACTTCCGGTTTGGAGTTGAGGCTGGCCCTAAGGGTCCATGTACCTACAGAGGAAAACTTGGGCCTCAAGGAACCTCCTATGTAGGGGTTTTTCGGCCCAAGTCTATAATCACAATACGGTACGTGGACCCTTAGGGCCACTGCCAGGGTCATGGATGTTCACCAAGCCAGCAGCCACTTTGTCAGGCTTAGAGATCCTAAACCCCAAACCCCAAACCCCAAACCTCAAAAGGCCTTGGGCTTGCAGGGCGGCCTGGGACATACAAAGGCTAAATGGGTTTTGAGAGCTGCTGAGAAGAAGACGGATCAGCAAGACTTTCCGCTAGGTTCCCCGGGTTCAGGGTTTAGGGTTAGGGTTTAATTAGGGTGTAAGGGTTTGAGTTTAGGGATTAGGGTTTAGGGTTTCGGGTTTAGGGTTTAGGGTTTAGGGTACAAGGGTACAAGGGCCTTCCTCCCGTCTGTCTCACAGGCCCCGCGAAGCAGGTGCCGTGTCGGCATGGCAATGTGGAGGGAAAGCTTGGTCGTGGGCTCCCTTGCATGGCTTTGGTACTTTTGACAGAGTTTAGGGTTTAGGGTTTAATGAGCCCCAAAACCCCATTCTAATTATTCAGGCCCCTGCATGAGAACCTTCCACACACCCCCGCCCCCGCTTCAAGGGGTTGGCCAGGGAGTGGGGGCGGACTTCGTCTTTTTTTTATGCAGGCTTCGGTGATGTGATCACTTTATAAGTACTCTGGAAATTCAGGGGTGGTAGTAGTTTCAAGTGGGGTCAGAAGTAGGTAACTATCATACCAAGGGAGATAGCCTTGTTTAGGGTACCAGCAACCTTACTGATGACACCCCATGAACCTTCAAGTAGGGTTTAGGGGTTAGGCCTCAGTCGATTTGCTGAGGGGTTACCGGCAGTCAAGCTTCCAAAGCAGCATGAGGGCCCTATATAATCCCTTCAGGGGTACATTAAAGGGTATATATATGGTTCAGCGTCGGGCGTTCCCGGCCCCCCCCCCCCCCCCCCCCCCCCCCCCCCATGGTATCCCCAACCCTGAACCCTAAACCCTAACCCTAAAACCAACCCCCAACCACACCCACAGGGGGGGGGTGGGTATCATCTTAGTACCCCATCCGCGGGGAAACCCAAAAACCTAAGCCCTAAACCCTAAAACCCTAAAACCTAAAACCTAAAACCCTAAACCCTAAAACCCTAAAACCCTAAAACCCTAAAACCCTAAAACCCTAAACCCCCTAAAACCCTAAAACCCTAAAACCCTAAAACCCTTAAAACCTAAAACCCTAAAACCTAAAACCCTAAAACCCAAACCCTAAAACCCCTAAAACCAACCCCCAACCACACACAGGGGGGGGGGGGGGGTATCATCTTAGTACCCCATCCGGGGGGGGCCAACCATATATATATATATATATATATATAGCCCTCATGCCCTCCTTCCCTACAAAGAACCCGGGTGTTATGGTGACGGGCTGGGATGAACAAAAAGTACCTTTGGCATCTAGTGGCGGGCTTCCGAAAACTAGGGGGTACCTTGTTGGGTCCTTAATGTAAGGGAATCCTACACCCTAAGCCCTAAACCCTAAACCCTAAACCCCTGATTTTCGTTTAGGGTTTCGGGTTTAGGGTTTAGGGTACCTTTTGCCAGTGTCCCAGGCCGGAGTGCGCCCCGGCTGGCAGCTGAACCTGGCAGTGAGCTCGGCTTTTCTTTAAGCCATGGGCCTTCTTGGGGAGGTTCATGGTACTTATTAACCAATTATAAACCGTACTTATAGCCCACTAATAAGCCCTTTAAGGTACCTATTAACCAATAATGTGTGGTGCTTTACTGTAAGTTTACATCTTTAGCCTTTTTGGGTTTATTGGGTTTCTTATTAAGGCAGCTAAACGTTTAATGTTTAGCTACCCTCCTAAGTGCAGCCAAGCTTGGAGGTTCATGGTACTTATGAACCAATTATAGACCGTACTTATAGCCCACTTATAAGCCCCTTTAAGTGCCCTAATGTGGTTCTAAGTACAGTTGTAAGTACAGTTATAATGGGTTAGTAAGTGCCATGAACCTCCAAGTAGTTGGGGCATATTCAGGGCGTATAGGAGTCATAATCGGATTTACATGGCTTGCAGCATTGCATGTTGCTGTTTCAGGTCTACGATGCCTGTCGTAAAACCCTTAACTGCGCAGGGTAGCTCGAGGAATTTGGCTGAGGGCTGAGGGCTGAGGGGCTGAGGGAGTTCTGGGTGCTGTTTCGAAACCCTAACCCCTAACCCCTAACCCTAAATCCTAAACCCCAAACCCCAAACCCTAAACCCTAAACCCTAAACCCTAAACCCTAGCAACCTTTCACCTTTTTCGGGGCTCAGGGTTTATAGGGCTTAGGGCTTCGGTGGACCTGGGCTTCCCCTCAAGGAACCCTAGCACCCTGATACTGAAACCCGAGTTCCTAAAGCCCTGCAGCCATCTTCAACCCGCAAGTTCTAGACCCTATACCCTTTTACCTATCCCCAAAACCCTAACCTTAAACCCTAAACCCTAAACCCTAAACCCTAAACCCTATATAAACCCTAAACTTCCGGAACCCTGAAGTTCTGAAGCCCGGTAGAAAAGGTGGAAACCTTCGATCTTCCAGCCAATCGCGAACCCTTCGGCGACCTGACCCAGGCGAGTCCGAACAGCTGTCGGTGTTTTTGGAGGGTCGCTGCACCTCAAGAGTTTCAGGTGTCGGGTTTAAGGTTTAGAAGCCCAGTGGTACCCTTTACCCTTTGGTTGTGGGTTCCCTTATAAAGTAACCAACCCAAAAAAGGGGGCCCTTAATATAATATTGTTACTGAGCTATGAAGGTTTAGGGTGTCGGGTTTAGGGAGGTTCAAACGTACAGCGCTCTGCATAGACTGGCAGTGCTGTTTGTTGTTGCCTCTGTTTTGTCGGCGAATGCCAGCCCTCGAGCATCCTGCCGAGAATCCCGCCGAGTATCCCCGCAGTGCGCCCACCTCCCTAAGAATCCCGCCAAGAACCCCACCAAGTATCTCTTCAGACGGAATGGTAGCTTTGTGCGGCTTGCTTCGGCCTGTCGGGGTAGCCCCAAATATCAGAGCTCACCTGCAACAGCTTGAAAAAGCCCCAATTCTGTGAACACATGCCGGCTCTGTCATCCTATGTCCTCAACACGATACCTGGGAATAGGGTTTGGGGTCCGGGGGTTGGGGAATTTAGGGTCTGGAGAGGCACTATGCAACATAGGCTGCCTGGCAGACAGCTTTGTCTGGGATACACAACCCTCATAAAGTCCACCACTCCACCCAGCCAACCAAAAAGAGCTCAACCCTAAACCCAAAACCCTTTGTTATGTTGCCTTTGTTGCCTTAGGAGGGGAACCGGGTGTTCTGCTGCCAAGGATGCCGTGGTCAAGGACCCGACCGCGCTGCTGAAGCTATCGGGCGCAGCTCCATCTGCAGAGATCCCCTTGACTACCCGGGTTTAGGGTTTCGGGTTAGGGTTTACCATTTGCTTAAGAAGCCCAAAAAAATCAAAAAGTGCTTCATTTTTAAGGGAAATGTAAGGCTAATATAGAAATTATGATTATTCCCCCCAAAAGACGGTCTTCCTTTTTAAGGGTAATATAGGGATTATTATTATGTCTTCTCATATTTTTGGGCGTTCTAAATCAAATCGTAGTTGGGGCTCTCTCAGCACCCTCTGGTTTAGGGGTTCCAGGTCTGCTAGATCGTTCTGAACCTTAGTTGGCCACATGTATACTCGTACCTGAACTTGTACATTCATTTTGGCCTAAGGGGCCAAGAACAACTCAAAGAGTTACAAAAGCATAGAAATAGCAACATGAATCACGAGACAGAAGAAGAATGACGTGCTTCAAGCAGCTTCTTGGAACGGGGGAGCTTTGGGATGCTGAGTTTAGAGGTGGCTTTCGGTCCTACTTGGAGGTTCATGGGCAGTTATAAGTGGGGTTATAAGTAGGGTAACTATAGTCATAGCTGTTTTGAACCTTATTTAGGGCACTTCATAACCCTACTTGCAACCGCCCATGAACCTTCAAGTAGGGGATCTTAGGGTTGGGCTGCCTGCCTGTAGAGTCTCAGATTGAGCTGAGCTACCATGAAACTGGGAGATCACAAACTCACTTCCAATCCAACAATAAAGCCCTAAACCCTAAACCCTAAACCCTAAACCCGAAACCCTAAACCCTAAACCCTACCCTAAGGATCTTGAGACTTTCTGGGCTAAGGTCCGGGCTTTATGGGTTAAAGGGCTGGGCTTTAGACTTTGGTGAGCAAGGGTCGCGGCCTGAGACCGCCTCGTGGCTTGAAAGCGAATGAAGGCCCGCGAAGGCCCCTGAGAGCCGTGAAGGCCCTGAAAGCCCAGTCATGTTGGCGTGCCTCCCCGCAAACCTCAATTGAAGTCATATTGTGCCATAGAGCTTTGTCAGACCCCATGAATAGCTGCACAGTTTAAGCAGACATGGTGCTGATTGTGCGGAATGGATCGATGTGGCACCGTGGCAAGACATGCCGCGGGGAGCTGCTCGAGGACTGCTGCATCACGTCAGATTCAATATTTTGTGAGCTATGTGTGAGATTGGACCCATATGTGTGGAGCCTGCTCAGAACATGTGGCATGCTGCGAGGGGAAATGAAGAGAGCAGCATGAGTGTGCATGCATGCACGCAAAAGACAACGAAAGCTGTGAAACTTTGATGACCTGTCGAATCTGTGCGCCATGCTGCGCCGACCGCAAGCTGCGGACATGGCTTGTGCCTTGTTACGCTACTGTGTGTTGTGTTCGGCTTGTGTGCGTGTGAAAATATGGGCCATCAAGAGCATGAGGTGCTCTGAAAACGTACCTTTCGAGCTCGGCTTTTGTATCTTGTTCAACTACCGCGCGGCCATGCAACACATTGTTCGAAAACATTGCCAACCCGATCAATGTGGTCTATGATGATATGATGAATTACTTCGACGTCGTTCTTGCATTTTTCAGGCTGTCACCAATGGGCCTCATGGATAAAATCCTGGGTCTGCAAGCACATGTGTGCTTTCAGTATGAAGAATGCCCAAATTGATCTAAGGAGAGTTTTCCATGACAGATCTACAGATGGTGTTTCGAAAGCTCGATGATGAATGCAACCACAGTCTCAGCCAAGGGAAACTCTTGAAGGAGAGGCACCAATGGGCCAAAGGCGAATTTTAGCAGCGTCAGTCTGGGAGTTCTGACTGAGAGTGGTCGGTAACAGTTCCAAGTTTGGATTTGCATGCAGTATGGCCTGAATTAAGGAGACAGATACACTATTCGGGCTATTATCCTACGCAAGAAGGTACTGGAGAAAGAGTCTGTCCCGGGAAAGCACTACAGAAGCCACCAAACAGAACATTATGTGTGCGTGAGGTGATGTGAGTTGTGTGCTTGTTCTGTGCGGTGTGCACGCATGTACATCTCACCCTTCAATATTTAGCTCAGGCCGCTGTGAAGCTGAAAGGTATCCTGCAGCAGAACCCGCGAAGACTGCGACCCACATTGAGCAGGGCGCACAAACGTAGGGCTGCAGCACTTAAGTCGCTGAAATGTGTCAAAACAGAACCTGCAAACAAGCAGCTTGCTTTGAGCACAGAAGTTTGGGAAATTGAGTCGGATTCGGACGTAGAGTGCCTTGATCCACCTGGGGTTGGGGCAATGGACTCGTCTGGGTCACCTGCTGGGCAAGACATGAAGGCTTGGACTGAATGCGGGGCAAATGCATGTTGCTCTATATCACGCAATGCATGCAAAGCTCGCCCATGGCTTGAGTGCGTGCACGCAGGCCCCACAAGTGGAGCACGACAACCAGCAGGCGTGGCAGGTTTTCCATGTTGCTTGGCCTGCATGACTGTATAGACATGTCTGTGCCAACACACATGTCATTTGCCGGCGAATTGGTTTCACGGTTGTTCCCAGGAGTGCCGCCAGCACCCGAAGTTTGAGATGTATCGTGATCTCATGAATCACTCTGGCCAGGAAGCTTGGAATGAATGATGTGTTCATGGGGTGTGCAAGGCTCATGTCATGCATGCATGGTTTTTTTTTCTGTGTCAGGAGGTCTTTACCTACATCGAGAGGGTCTTCTCTGACCAATCTGACTTCCTCGCCTGGCTGAACCAGGAGACTGCGGCGGAGGATGCCGCGAAGATGGCCTCGCAGCAAATGCTGCAGCATCCCCGCTTTCGAGACTTCTGTGCTGCGGTGCAAGTTGGTCCTGAGGAATGGGGCAAGCCTGGAGCGGACTTGACCATGGAGGTGTCTTTGTTTCAGGAATGGGTTGTGGCCGCTGAGAGGGAGGCTGCCGCTGTGCCAAGACCACCTGTGGTAAATCCTGATTTGGTGGAGACGCAGGTTCCTGTGATTGCATGAAGCAGCTGTAGGCTGTCAACGCAAGCAAGTGGAAATGTTCTAGTTTGCGTGATAACTTACTGACGTGCTGCGCTCTGAGGTGGTGGATGATGGTATGTATCTTGGGCCTGATGATGTGCCTCCGCCCCCGCCTGAAGAGGCCGTCGCCCTCACTCCGGATGTTAAGAAGCCCTTGGACTCCACCTTTGCGTCTGCAGCTATGGCTTCGCCGAAGGCTGTGCCAAGCAGGAGGAGAATTTTGGCAGCACCCAGCTGACTCTATCATGAGCATCATTGTAGAAAGCACCTGTGGGTGGGTGGGTGGGACAGTGCAGGGTCGCTGTGATGCGTGCAGCACCTCAGGTCCGAAAGGCATCAGCGACGCCGTGTCCAAGGAGGATGTGGCCCGTGTGCTTGAGAATGCCCCCAAGGAGCTTCTCTACGATATCTGGCGCTCATCCCACAAGAGCCTTTATGGATGTTCCCCTCAGGCCACATATTGTGTGAGTTGCATGGGCTTAGCAAATTCTTCTTTCTCCCAATGCTCAATTCCTCCCTTCGCCCGAGGGAAAGATTGCTCCATCCTCCGCAAGTTCGCTGAAGGACATATAATCGCACTTTTATGATGCGCAGAAGCTCCGGCACTTCCGTCATTGAAGTGAGACTTCTTGAGACAGCGTAGCCCCGAAGGAGACCCGTGTGACGCCTGATGACAATCATGAGAAGGCTTCTGTAAAACCCAGTGAGAAGTCCCAAGAGGCGCGGTACTGTGCGAATATCTAGTGTAGGAGTTGTAAACTTTTAGAAACCCTACCCTATCCAACCCTATATATATATATATATTTATTTGTATTTGTATAACCCTCTATAAACCCTTTAGAAACCCTATATGTTCTTTACTTATATATATATATATACCCTATAGAAACCCATGCTCTGTCTGATACAATCTATGATTGTTCCACCTTCTCTGTTTTTGTAATTCTGCAACCCTCTAGCATCCCAACCTATCTGCCCATGTCACTGCCCAGGCGGAGCCGTGCAGCGAAGAAGCGTCTGCGGAGGCACCTCCGGTGATTGTGTTCCGTCGCGCAGAGGGGTTTTGCGTGGGTTGGTCACACATAGCAGGTGCTGAATGCCAAAGTACACAAGTACCCTTTGCAAGCGCCGCCCGAAGAAGTGTGGAGGAGGGTTCAGTGTGTGGTGCAGGATTTTGACCCACCTCGGTATGAGGATCAGCTGCAAAAGAAGAAAACTAAGCAAACACGTACGGGCAAACTAGGAGAAGAAGAAGAAGACTGTTTGGTGCAAGATGCAGATGAAGTTATAGACAGCATGGAGAAGATGTGTATTCGAGAGGCAAAAAGGGAGCTGAAGGCGGGGTACATATAATACAAAAGCGGTGCCGTATGTATGACCCACTACTTCACTTTGTTTTCTCTGGTTGGCAGGCGAAAGACAAGAAGAAGGAAAAGCAGGCCCCTGGCGGGGGCGCAAAGGGGAAGCCTGGTCCTGCCGCTGATGCTGCAGTGGATGATGCAGACACGGAGGATGAAGCGGTGGTGAAGCCTAAGGCCAGCAACGCAGGCAGCAAGAAGCCGAAAAAGGTAGAGGAGGAGGAAGAGGAGGAGCAAGAGGTACCCGTTCGCAAGGCCAGCAAGGGAGGCAGCAAGAAGCCCAAGAAGGTAGAGGAGGAGGAGGACGAGGATGAGCAAGAGGTGCCCGTTCGCAAGGCCAGCAAGGGAGGCATCAAGAAGGTAGAGGAGGAGGAAGACGACGAGCAAGAGGAGGAGCAAGAGATGCCCGTTCGCAAGGCCAGCAAGGGAGGCAGCAAGAAGCCCAAGAAGGTGGAGGAGGAGGAAGAGGAGGAGCAAGAGATGCCCGTTCGCAAGGCCAGCAAGGGAGGCAGCAAGAAGCCCAAGAAGGTAGAGGAGGAGGAAGAGGAGGAGCAAGAGGAGGAGCAAGAGATGCCCGTTCGCAAGGCCAGCAAGGGAGGCAGCAAGAAGCCCAAGAAGGTAGAGGAGGAGGAAGAGGAGGAGCAAGAGGAGGAGCAAGAGATGCCCGTTCGCAAGGCCAGCAAGGGAGGCAGCAAGAAGCCAAAGAAGGCAGAGGAGGAGGAAGAGGAGGAGCAAGAGGTACCCGTCCGCAAGGCCAGCAAGGGAGGCAGCAAGAAGCCAAAGAAGGTAGAGGAGGAGGAAGAGGAGGAGCAAGAGGTGCCTGTCCGCAAGGCCAGCAAGGGAGGCAGCAAGAGGAAACAAATAGAGGAGGAGGAAGAGGAGGAGCAAGAGGTGCCGGAGCCTGTTCACGAGGCCAGCAAGGGAGGAACAAAGAAGAAGCAGAAGCAGAAGGTCGTGGATGAGCAGCAGGAGGAGGAGCGACACGTGCCCGTTCGCAAGGCCAGCAAGCAACCAAAGAAGGTGGAGGTGGAAGAAGAGGAGGAGCAAGACGAAGAGCAACAGGAGGAAGAGGAGGAAGGGGAGGAAGAGCCTGTTTGCAAGGCCAGCAAGGGAGGCAAGAAGAGGAAACAGGCAGAGGAGGAGCAAGAGGTCCCGAACACTGTTCGCAGCAAGGGAAGCAGCAAGAAGGCAAAGAAGACAGAGGAGGCGGACAAGGAGGAGGCCACAAAGGGAGGCCGGCCTGTGCTCAAGGGCCTTGTTGAAATTGGCCCTGGCCGGTTCAGAGACGCTTCGGGGACAACCTTCACCAGCGTTGGAGGTGATTTCGGACCGTTTTTTGCGGAAGGAGTGAGCAATGATGATGAAGAGGCCCACGACAGCAAGGCTGTGCCAGCCCGGGGTAGCCCAAAGGCAAAAGCTAAGGCGAAAGGAAAGTCGAAGGCAAAGGCAAAAGCCAAGACGAAAGCAGCTGCCAGGGAAGGCCCATGCGGCAAAGAGAAGGGGAAGAAGGTTCAGGAGGAAGAAGACGAGCGTGAGGACCCCGTACAATATTTAACGGCAGTCTTCTATAGTGATTCAAGTGTGTGGAATGCCATGTTGTGCTGTTCCCTTGCAGGAAGACGAGGCCCATGA